GACCAATCAGGATCAAGCGTTATTGTTTATGTTTCAAAGTTTTCAATGTCAAAATCTATCTTGGGAAAACATAAAGTTGTAGTTGGATATTCCTAATATCAGGAAAATCTGTAACTTCAATTTTTTCCTAACTGAACGCCATAATTTCAGATCAAAATTAAACAAAGAGGTTTTTTCAAAGTATTCCATATGTAACCATGCCGGGACCTATCAATTTTTTGAAACTAGATTTTTTTCCCTATTGTTTGATATCAACATTTTTAAAATCCGCTGAGAAATAAACTTTTGAAAAATCTTTATTTTTAAATGCAATTTTTTTTTGGTTTTGTTATAAATCTTTTAAAAATGGTCCTATCATACGGAAAATGATCTGCTGATGCCAGAAAACTCAAAAAATACCCCAGGTGTCCCATTTGAAAATTAAAAGTTATGGCCATTTCCGGTTTAACCTGAAGTGACTGGTAACGCAATTTACTTCTAAAAAACTTAAAAAGTTGCCTCGTTTAAGCTCCCCAAATTTCAAATTTTCAACTTATATATTAAAAAAGTTATAGGTTGTTCCTTATTCCTTGTGTCACCCTGTATATAGCAATTTTTACATAGAAAAAAAGCACCTGGGTATGTGCTTTGGTTACGCATATATTATTTGTTTGATTTACAATTTTATACATGTAAGTTTCTTATTACTATATAGTACAGCCATGACCAAAGTTACTCACTCACCCACACACACACTCTCATCGCAGTCATCACCCAAACTCATTATCAAGCTAAGTGGAGGAAAGACACCCACACTCAAAACAAAACTGAGAATTTAGTAAAATTACGGTATACTTATTCATTACATTCTTTGCTGAATTTTTTTATGTTTTTAATAGCTCTGACAGAACCAGGAAGCAAATTGTAAGACTTTGGGGCCAGGTAGTCAAAGAATTTCATATTGGCACTAGTTAAATTCGATAGTATCATGAGGTTATTTTCACATTTGCTTCTAGTCCCATAACAGTGATCTATTACCTTTTTTCTAAGCTCTTTTCTGTGTAAGAAGGTACAAATTGCCCCAATATAAATTGTACGTACATTGACAGATTCCTCCGTAAAGAGTAAATTCGATGGATATCTTCTTTCCCTTTTAAAAATTACTCTTAATATATATTTCTGAGACACATTCAATTTGTGTAGAGCACACTCATACATTCCGCCCCATACAATTATGCCATATCGAATAATGGATTCGACAATAGATTTGCAAACCACCACCAATGTTTTTTTGTTCAGGAATTGTCGTAGGGTGTAGAATCTGCGAATAAGTTTCCGTATTTTGTTGGGTATATGCTCCATGTGAAAGCCCCCCTTGAGGTTTTGGTCTATCAATATTCACAGGTATTTTATGTGGCCAACCTGTCCAATATAACCATCATCTTCTGGAGGACTGAATAGTCAGGTCTGTTTGCTTCAGTTAACGAAAAGGCTATAGAGTTAGTCTCCGCCAAATTCAAGGAAAGTTTGAAAGTTGCTAACCAGTTCCTGACAATCCTGAACCCTTCTGTCGCCCCGGATTCTGTAATGCGATAGTACTTCCAATAATTGAACGTGTGGTATAGTATCAAAAGCTTTCGCTAGGTCTATGAAAATACGACATTTTGTTCCTTCGTTCAAGTTTTTTGTTATTTTAGAGGTAAATTGATGAAGGGCGTCCATCGTGCTGGATCCTTCCAAGAACGCATATTGATTCTCAGACAGGAGTTTATTCCTACTGAGAAAGTCGACTAGTCTTTTTTTTACGCATTTTTCAAAAACCTTTGCAAAATGGCTTATGAGGCTTATGGGGCGATAGTTCTTAATTTGTGTTTTGTCTCCGTTCTTATGAATGGGGCACACTATTGATGTTTCAAAAGCTGAGAGAACTATTCCTGTCTCAAAAATTGCATTGAGAATTTCATACATCTGTCAGAACTGGTATTCCAACAATAAATTGACATGTTTTGATTGTTGATTTGAACTAATCAGATTGTAATTACGCGATAATTTGCACTAGTGCAAATTATCAGATAATTGCATACTAACTGGTGCGAAAACTGGTGTTTTGACATTTTTTGACAAAAAATTTAAATTTCTGATTTATGAAATTCTCTCATTAAATACAACTCGTGCAATGGAAATATATTTATAATTTTCGACAAATTTGCACTCATGCGTTTTTAACTGAAAAAGGCACGAGTGCAAATTTCCCAAAAATTATCAATAATTTCCATTGCACTAGTTATATTACTATTGATAATATGTTTCAGAGGTGTTATCTATGTGGGTCTTTTTTATAAAGTCTACAGTCTACAGTTATATGGTTACAGCCAGGTGAGCTATTGTTCTTTAATGATGAAATGTGTTCGATCAATTCGTTTACATTCACTGGTCTTAAATAGAGCGATTCTGCAAGTGAAAAGTTTATTTGTCTAGGATTTGTAGGTCTAGGTATATTTTTTTCCATTTCTAGTCCGACATTTATGAAATAGTCGTTGCAGTAGTTGCTAGCTGCGTGATTCGTGATCATCATTAAATTATTTTTGTTGTTTTCTCACAGGTTGCGTCTTTCATTATTTCATACATTTTTTTCATGTTGTTTTTATTTTGTAATATTTGTTCGCGATAATCATTATTTCTTTGTTTTTCAATAAGAGATTTCAACATGTTTCTGTATTGTTTGTATTGGGTTTCCAGCTCCGGACTGAATTTATTTAGGAGTCTTCTCTATAGTTTGTCTCTCTTTTTTATAGATACGATTAAAGCATTTGCCATCCATTTTTTTATTTTTTTATATTCTTTTATTCTTGTTGTGATATACTCTTTTCCCTTCTCGATTAGTACTAAGACTATTTTCAAAAATGAGTGTTGCTGTTTCTGGATTTTTATCGTTTGTACCAGTTGACCAATCCTCTCCCTGTAGAAGTTGTTTAATTCGAGGTATATTTAATTTAGTTCTGCAGATTTCTGTGTTTTTTATGTTTTTTTCAACCGAATTTTTTACAATGTTGAGTACTAAAGGTCCATGATCTGTAACATGGCTATCCAATATGTAAGTCTGATACAGATAGTTTATTGTATTTTTCTTTTTTTTTGTTGTATTTTGTTTGACAAATATATGATCCAGACAAGTTTTAGTTTCAAATCTTGTAGCAGAGTTTACATAGGATTCATAGCCTAATTGTGCCATGGTAGACAGGTATTCAAAATTTTCAGATACAAAAGTGTCCAAAATATTTATATTTGTATCCCCTATGATAATTTCGACTTCATTTTACATCTCCCAACGAGGTCAAAAACTCGAATTTGCGCTTTAAAATTGGTGGTGATTTATAGACAGCATTCACACCTATTCTGCGGCCATTCATTCTGCAAGTCAACCTGCAAATTGTGACCCCCGAGATCATAAATTTATGGGTAGTAAATTCAACATCAAGATTTGACCTCACTAACATTAGAACACCGTCATTTCGATTATAGTTTGCGTTATTATAGTATGTGGTGTATCCATCAATATTGCACTGTTCAACTGATACGTTCTGAAAGGTTTCACTCAACACAAATATATCTTACAAAGTGTAGTTTATAAGTTTCTATCATAAGTAAAAAGTTAAGAAAGTTTTTGTGAATACTTCTAATGTTTATATGGAGCACGCTAATTTCTTTATTTTGTAGGTTCAGTTTGCTAAAAAGTGAGTCTTTATCTACTAACTGTCCATTTGTCATATCAATGTCTTCTATTTCTTCTAATACTTCATTAACTTGTGCGCTCATCATTAGGGTCCATAGTTTATACGATTCTTCAGAATTTTTTTATTGTAATCTGTGAACAGACATTTCTTTGTTTATGCATTTTTTGTATGTGCTTCTGCATGTAGTAGTTTCATGTTTTCCTGAGCAGTTTCCACATGCTAATTTATTAGTGCATTTACTACTCGAGTGGTGATAGCCTTGGCAATTATAACATCGGCTCAGATTTATATCTTCATATACAGGGTGTCCCACGGTGGATGGCGTATTAGACGTTTATGGAGAACTAGAAAGCGGATCATTTTGAAAATTTGGCAACCGGTATAAACGACCATAATCTACACTTTAAAAATATTTTTGTTTATGCGGCGTTGCCGCTTCTACCCTAAACCAGTGGCAACAGCGCTATTTTAAATGGAACACCCTGTATCTGATTACATATTTGGATTTTACGTAAAATTCTGAGCAGATTTCATGTGATATACCCTATACCTAAGTTCAACTGTTTTGGAATTATTGACAGTTGAAAATCGACTTTTTGCAACTTTGACAGGCTGTAAAACCTGATTTTACATTCCTATCTCGAAAGAAAAACCGATTTTACATTCCTATCTTAGATTTTTATAAACTAACATTTGATACCAACTTCAAATTTAATCCATGATTAAAAATTCCAATTAAATTTAATCTCCGGGTAAATTCAAAGTTGGTGTCAAATGATAGTTCATGAAAATATAAGATAGGAATGTGAAATTGGTTTTTCTCTTAAATTAACCGTTCAGGTTTTACAGCCTATCAAAGTTGCAAAAAGTCAATTTTCAACTGTCAATAATTCCAAAACAGTTGAACTTAGGTATAGGGTATATCACATGAAATCTGCTCAGAATTTTACGTAGAATCAAAATATGTAATCACATACAGGGTATTCCATTTAAAATAGCGTTGTTGCCACTGGTTTAGAGTAGAAGCGGCAACACCGTATAAACAAAAATATTTTTAAAGTGTAGATCATGGCTGTTTACCCCGGTTGCCAAATTTTCAAAATGATCCGCTTTTTAGTTCTCCATAAACGTCTAATACGCCATCCACCGTGGGACACCCTGTATAGGATACCTTTCGTAGTTTAGGTAAATCCTGCCCACTTTTATGGCCTTGGCAAACGTTCCAGGTGAGCTGGAATGCTCACTGAGTATATTCGAGTAGTTTTTGCTTGTGATTTGTTTTATATATTATGTTACTTTAAATTCATAATTTTCCACCATCCAATTATTCTGACTTCTAATGCATTCTTCAACGTCTTTGTATCCCTGCTCTCCAGTATAACCAACTATTTTAATTCTTGGGTTTTGTTTGGAGGGGGTTTTCATTGTGTAGTTATTGCCCAGTTTCTGTATTGCTGTGTTCTTGAGTCTTTCTATGTCTTGTTTCGCTGTGCATTTCACAATAATACTGCCTTGTTTTGTATCCTTTATACTCCTTATGCCAACATTTATTTCAGCAGGATTTACTTTTTGTTTAATCAATTTTATGGCTGATTCAGGGGCTTGTCCCTCTGGAGGCTTGATTATTAGTGTATGTATTTGAGAAGATGTTTCTTCCTCATTCGACTTCATTGCATTTCTTTGCATCATACCTGCGTAAGAGCTTTCATAGATATTTTGCTGGTTGGAGGTGTTTTTTAAGTCCAATATTTCTCTTTTCAGTTCAATAAGCTCATTTTTCATTGAGTCCATCAAACTAATCAATTCAGGAGTTCTGGGCAAGTATTTTTTACATCCCAGGCACACCAGAAGCAGTGTTCGCTTTTGCAGGGGCATACACTTAATCTCACAGGGTGATAAGCTTGTACAATTTTTATGTACTCTGCTCAGGCATAGGTCGCACATGTAAAATTGGTCCATAATTTTTTTCTTGCAGTTAACACAATTCTCTGGATCAGCTGGAAGGTCATCGCCCACGCCCTCGGACATTGTTGTTTATAAAAAACGATATTAGAAAGAGCAATAAATAAATTCAAGTATGTGCTATGCTATTTAAAATTTCAAGGTGAACACTCAATTTCCATCTTATCTTTGCAAATGGAATTTTGTTCACTACACTTTTTGTAAGGTTTATAATTTAAATAGTTTCATTGTTATCTTTAAAGACAAAGAAAACTCAGTTTTACGATTGGTAATTTAGTTCACAAATAACTCAGTGCACAGCACACTCACTAAAGTTTATGGTGGCAAAAATTCACAATTTTACCCCAACATTACCCCCGAATACTAGGCGATTTTGCCGGAGCGAGCCGTTTGTCCGTCTTAAATAGAAAACAAGTTTTGCTTTATACTTACTAAATTGTATTTTCTGTCTAAAAACTTCAAAAGTCTTTAATTAAGCTATTACCTTAACCTCGAGTTGAACTTACCAATCTACCAACCATGTTCAAAAGGACTACAAAACGAATGTAATGGAATTTGTTGTGGTTGTGATCATTTGGATGGATCAAATGGAATTTGAAGTTTTCATCTACACTCTGTCCAACGAACCTACGGAGTATAACAGAGTCAGATTGGCGGCCAGGTTTACACTAAACACTGATTTATGCCATTTATTTATTTCAAAATCTTACAAAACATCATTCTACAGTGTACAGCGGGCTGATTAATGACCAATAGCAACAAACCTTTTTGAAGGTTTTGTTGTTTGTCACTCCTTCTGTTGGTTGGACAGAGTTTAGCTAGATATTTTGATGGAAATCGGAACCTCTATTCCATCTCAAATCAAATATTGATTAATGTATTTAGCATTAACATAAAATGTAACTTCGGAAGATTGTGCGGTACGTTACAGTCACGTCAGTCACCCATGTTGAAATACAGCAGAGTTCAAACCATCTGATCACAATAATCAGTGACTGCTGTCATTATCATTAGGAGAAGAATTGGGTACTGTAGAAACATCTGGATATTAAACAGTAATTGTTTGTTCAAGATCCAATAAATGATCAGAGATGGTCGACGCTGATTGGCTAGATTTTGGTGCCTCATTAGGGCTGGGCTAATCATTTAAATTGAGCGCTAGTCGCCCAAGTCAAACCCCTAATTCCTAATTCTCAGATTTCTTGATTAAGTCTGTAGGCTTTATGAACAGACTATAGAATTATTAGAAAGGCATTTTTCAAAGTCATCAATGTGAACCAACAAATGTTTATTACCAGACTGAATCAAATACATATAATTATTAACTTTATCTATGAGAGTAACTTCAATTTATCTTTCTTCCTTTCACCTTTTCGTTTTTTTCAAATGACATAATTGGTTTAAATTTACTTGTTAATACTTGTAAACAAAAAACTCCTCAAGAAACTAAAAAGAAAAGAGAAGAGAAATTGCCCGAAATTTCCAGTGAAAGTGATGTGTCCTATAGAAAAAAACGAATTTGCAGATGAGAATTTTTCAGACTTTTTCTGACAATAGTGATATCCAAAACCTAAGACAAAATATACAGGGTGAGTTACTAAGCGCGCGGTAGTCCCTATCTCCTATACTAACGGAGATCGAAGAAAAAACTAAATACTTGTAGATAAACATGTTTACAGTAGATTCTTAAATTATTTTCCAGTTTACAAGATGGCCCAATAAGTAATGGTGACACAATGTTTTTTTTAAATGATTCCCCCTGTGTAACATTTTTGAAATTATGCCAGGACTAAGAAAGCACAGGACTCCCCAGTTTTCCGAAGCATTCAAGCTTACAAGTTACTGCCCGAACAAATAAATGCTGCAAATGTGTAAAGACTCTCTATTAACTTAAAAATCTACTTGATTAAAAAAAAAAAAAATGGCTATGAAGTTTTTGCCAACCTAAGATCAGTGTGCAGTCCTTTCCCAGGAATGTTATAGGAGTTTTGTCCAAAACACTGGAAATAACCTTTCTACTATTTCAAAACCATTTTGGAATTTCTGTAAGTCTAAACGCAATGCGTCTGAGATACCTAATCTACTCACTCTTGATAATAAAAGTGCTATCATGGGTCCTGATCAATCTTAATGCTGCCAACCTATTTGCAGGTTATTTTTCCTTGGCCTACTCTGCTTGTAACCCACAATGCAGTCAAAAGTTGTCATTAAATCATATTAATGTTCACAATTACTCCATTTCCATTTGTGACATATACACTGAGCTTATTAGCTTGAATCCTCACAAGGGTCCGGGTCCTGATAATATTCATTCTGTCTTTCTTAAAAACTGTCCTTTTATTCTCACTAGGCTCCTACACCTTATTTTTGATATTCCTTTGAAAAGTGAATCTTTTTCCAAATTCTGGAAAACCAGTTTTGTTGTTCCAATACATAAATCTAAAGACAACATAAAAAATTACCGGCTCATTTGCATTATTTGCATTCTTGTGCCATCTGGGGTCCCACATCGGACCACTTCTTTTTAATATCTTCATCAATTATGTTGCACCCTGCTTTCAGTCTTTGGAGTTCCTTCTGTTTGTAGATGATGTAAAAATGTATAGAGTAATATCTAATCTTAGCGACTGCATTGCTTTGCAAGAGGATATCTACAGATTTGTGGCTTGGTGTTGTGATATTGGTATGCATGTTAATATTTTTAACTGCAATCTCATGATATTTTCTCGTCGTACATACAGCTAAAACTAATTTTCATTATCTTATTATTGGTGCAACATAAACAACTCAGTTGTAAACATAAAGGATGTTGGAATTATTCTTTATTCTTAACGATAAACTATCATTTGCCTCTCACATAACATCAATCATTGGTAAATCACTGAGAATGTTGGGATTTATTAAACATGATACTTCTGACTTTGTTACTGTACGTTCCATTAAAATTCTATATTGCAGTCTTGTTAGAAGTGTCTTGGATTATGCCACCCCTGTATGGGACCCTCAGTATAACTTCCATGTCTTCCATGCTTCATAATATGAAATTCTTTTTATCAACCAATAAATTATAGAATATTAAATAAATTGAAAGTGCTAGGTATTTGAATTTGAAAATCCTTATTATTATTAAAACACTTCGGTCGAACTTTGTTGAACTTGAACCTGTATTACTTTTCCTTGATAAAATATTGTATCTTCACAGCAATTCATTTGCTTTGAAAAGTCCCGTATTATTCTAGACAATGAGAAGAAATTGAAATTAATTGCTGTGCCTACGAAAAACCTAATGGCTGTCCCAGTAAGTGACAAACGCGTTATTCTTTTATCTCTAAACGCAGTAGAGAAAAACCAATCGGAGTCTGAAGATTTGGATGATGAAGACGATGATAGCGAATTGGAAAATAAATACAAACATTTACTGTTGGAATTTGAAATTCTTCAAGATCAAGTTGCCGCCAGAGAATCTACATTGGCTTCTTTGAAAAAAGAAAACTCTGCATTGAATCGCTTGCTAAAAAAAATGTCCTAAAAAGGGTATTTCTCAATCTAAGGGCCGATGCTTTTGCTCTCGATTAACGAATTTGATGAGTCGTCAAAGTTTTGCATGGGCCAAGGTCTATAAGTATGATGTGGTTCAAACCCCTGATTATTTTTAACGGCTGTCAAATGAGAGCAAAAGTACCGGCACTAAATTATTTATTTTCTCTTTTAGCAAAAATCAAAAGCGACAAAACGTAAAAGAAAGTCAATGGAACATGAATCATCTTCTGACGAGGACATTCCCCTAGGCGAACTAAGAAGTCAATATTTAAATATTAAAACAGAAGATCACATTGAATTTGATAATAGTGATTCTAATGTGGATATGAAATCAAATATTAAACTCTTAAAACAACGATTTCTTGACCTACTAGACCAATATGAAAAGCTAAAGCACAAACATGTAGAGTTGGGTCAGGAAATTGAAGCTTTGGAAAAGACTAATATTGAACTTAAGTGTAGGATTTTTTAATTTACAATAGTAGGTACTAGGTTAGTAAATGATTGTTATGGAATCTTGAATAAAACAACTTAATTATTACAAAAATAATAAGTATACCTACTTCGGTTTGCAACATGATAGGAAAAACGTCGTTTTTGCTTCTCGCCTGGGTGTTGCTAAGAGCGTATTTCTACCCATTAATCTGTGTTTTTCTTTTGTTTGTGTCCAGAGCTAAGGTAAGTTGAGCCGATTTTCAGAGTTTTTTCTCATACCTTTTAAATTTGTTACGTATAAAGGGAGTGCTAGGCAAGTTGAATGTAATATTAGACACTTAAAGCAATATCCGTATCCACATCCGTAAACGCATCGACTTACGTTGACCGCCTAAAAGTCCTTTTAAGCATGGCCATACGTTACGTAAACGATCGTTGTTGTTGTTGTTTGTTTTAATGGCACTGCTACTGAGGCAATTTGCCAGCACAATTTCGTGGCGACCCTGATATTGTCTGGCTCTAGGCCATATCATAGGTCCCCTATTTGTTTCACTCTTTTCTTCTATCTTCAATTTTTCTTAATATGAAAGGCACATCCAGGATTTGCCTTGATCAATCGCTGAAACCGGATATAACCTTTTTCTGTCAAAACAAACAGCGTTTTCACGAGTCTCAGACTCTGGCCGCCATTTTGCCAACGTAACCACGCGTGTAAACCTTCTGTTTATCTAGGAATCTAAGCCGGCTTAGTCAAAAAGACGCAAACAAATCCACGGATGGCGATGAATCTCGGTTTTTACTCGCGGAGGTGAGCCAAAATTTGGTCTCTACACGCCTCTAGTAAACGATCGTATCCTTAGATGACGCGTTTTCTAACCTCAAAAAGTGTTGTATTGAATTTGTAGCTGTGTTCGTAGGTTTTCTTTTTATGAAGTACCTGGTTTATGTTGTTAAAGTTATGTTAGTGATAACTAAAGCCCATTTTACAATGGACGTAACGTAACCGTAAAGACGTAACATAAGTCCTAAGCATGCGCACATTAGATTTATTTGCGTCAAATATATTACTGAAAACGCAACGTAAGAGAAGATGAGAATAATTCAAATTTTGATTATTCTTGGTTTTTGATTGGCTCTGAAATTCAAATTTCGAATATTCCCGGCTCATGATTGGTTAAGAAATTGAATTTTTGATTATTCCCGGCTCTTGAATGTTTGAATTTTCCCAGCTTTTGATTGGATTAAGAAAAGAATTGAATTTCAAAATTTTCCCGGCTCTTGATTGGTTTAAAAATAGATTTTTTAAATTTTCTTAACTCTTGAGTCTTGATTGGGTTTAAAATTCAATTTTCATCAATCATTCCTGGCTTTTAATTGGGTTAAAAATGGAATTTTTGATCATTCCTGGCTCTTGATTGGTTTAGAAATTCAATTTTTGATTATTGCCGGCTCCTTGATTGGCTTCGAATTTCAAATTTTCCCGGCTCTTGATTGGGTTAAGAGTTCAAATTTTGATTATTCCTGACTCTTGATTAGCCCTGAAATTCAAATTTTGAATATTCCCGACTCATGATTGGGTTAGAAATTGAATTTCCGATTATTCCCGGTTCATGATTAGCTTCAAATTTTGATTATTCCCGGATCTTGATTGGCTTAGAAATTCAAATTTTAATATTTTTGGTTTCCAAAATCAATTTTTGAATTTTTTCCGGCTTTTGATTGGGTTTAAAATTCAAATTTTAATTATTTTGATTGAATCTAAAATTCAAATTTTGAATGTTCCTGGTTCATAATTGGTTTAGAAATTGAATTTTTGATTATTCCCGGCTCTTGATTGATTTCCACAGTCACTTTTTTAATTTTCCCGGCTCTTGATTGGATTTAAAATTCAAATTTTGATCATTCCTGGCCCTTGATTAGATTTTTGAATTTTCTTAGCTCCTGATTGAGTTTAAAATTCAAACTTTGATTATTCCTGGCTCTTGATTGGCTTAGAAATTCGAATTTTGAATATTCCCGGCTATTGATTGGCTTCCAAAGTCATTTTTTGAATTTTCTCGGCTCTTGATTGGCTTCATATTTTGAATATTCTCGGCTCTTGATTGGCTTAGAAATTCAAATTTTAAATATTCCCAGTTCTTGATTGGCTTCCAAAGTCAATTTTTGAACTTTCCCGGCTCTTGATTGGGTTTAAAATTCAAATTTTAATTATTCTCGGCTCTTGATCGGGTTTAAAATTTGAGTTTCTTAGCCAATCAAGAGCCAGGAATATTCACAATTTGAATTTCTAATCCAATCAAGAGTCGGGAATATTCAAAATTTGGAGCCAATCAAAAGCCGGGAATATTCAAAAATTCAATTTTTAAACCAATCATGAGCTGGAAATATTCAAAATTTGAATTTCAGAACCAATCAAGAGCCAGGAATATTCAAAACTTGAATTTCTAAGCCAATCAAGAGTCAGGAAAATTCAAAAATTGATTTTGGAAGTTAATCAATAGCCGGGAATATTTAAAATTTGAATTTCAGAGCCAATCAAGAGCCAGGAATAATCAAAATTTAAATTTTAAACCCAATCAAGAGCCGGGAAAATTCAAAAATTGACTTTGGAACCAAGTCAAGAGCCGGGAATATTTGAAATTTGAATTTCTAAACCAATCAAGAGCCGGTAATATTCAAAATTTGAAGCCAATCAAGAGTCGGAAATAATCAAAAATGCAGTTTCCAAACCAATCATAAGCCGGGAATGTTTAAAATTTGAATTTTAAACCCAATCAAGAGCCGGGAAAATTCAAAAATTGACTTTGGAAGCCAATCAAGAGCCGGGAATATTGAAAATTTGAATTTCTAAGCCAATCAAGACCCGAGAATGATTAAAAATTGAATTCCTAAACCAATCAAAAGCCGGGAAAATGTAAAATTCGAATTCCAAACCCGACGGGAAACTAAATTTTTTTACCAAATGTTGCTACAAACGAATTCAATACATTTTCATAGAACAAGTGTGTTGCTACATAAAATCTCACCCTAAAAACCCACTAAAAAACTACCCCAAAAACGACTTGTTGCTGCACTTTCGTTCGTGTTGCTACTTTTTTAAAAAAATGTTGCTACATAAGTTCATTGAAATCTTGCTCTAAACTCACTAAAAACTACTCCCAGCGATTGTGTTGCTATACTTTTTCTTTCGTGTTGCTACATAAGAAATTCAACAAACTTGCCGAGCAAAAACTATCCCACAAATGACGTGTTGCTACATTTTTCCCCTTGGTGTTGCTACATATTATGATCTTGTGCTGCTACACAACGGAAGTGTTGCTACAAGAATAATTAATTTGCTACACCCGTAACTCCAAGCTGATCGATTTACCACCGACTCGATGTACTTTACAAAGTGGCACGGCGGCATCTCTTCGTTGCGTTTCCGGAGATATATTTGACGCAAATAAATCTAATGTGCGCATGTTTAGGACTTTTGTTACGACTTTACGGTTACGTTATGTCCATTGTAAAATGGGCTTAACAAGGAGATCTCTCAATAGTATCAAATGATTGAGATACGTTTCCTGAAATCTGAAATGTATACGAGGCAAGGCCCGTAACGATAGGGACAACGCAAAGCAACGAAACCACCGTATCTATTCTGCGCATGCGCAGATCGATCCGGATACGGATACGTTTGAAATTCAGGACCTGCTTAAAGTGTCTATTAAGTACTGAACAAAAACTTATGGAATGTAGCAATATTGATGAAAACATAGAAATTTTTAATGCTAAAAGATAGAAAAGTAAATTAATGACAAAGTGGTTTCCTATGAACCCACCGGACAGTTCTATTTTACTTTCAAGGGAGTAAGGCTGCCACGAGCTGTACATTTTATAATCTTTCTTTTAACATTTCTGTTTATGTGCCACTGGTCACCCAGGCCAACACACTACGTCAAGGCGGGAAACGACACGCTGGCGACGTCATCACTGGTGCTTTGGCATGGCTTTTAAGTATACAGGATGTCCCAACCGAGAGTGGCCCATATGTCTACAACTTTTGAACCAGGTGTACTAGCTCTGCGGTTTGCGCCATTCGATTTCTCTTAGCCTTAAATTTTTTCTAGTAGGTTGCAAATTTTTTTGAAACTACAGGGCGAAAAAAGAAAATTCTCCACTATTTTTAATGGAACACCACAACGCCAAAACAAAGAAAGCATGTTTAGGGTATCCATGTACGAATAGACATCGATCATCGTCCCTAAAACTTCAAGTTTTAGCCGTAAAAAATCAAAATTGAAATCTTGGCATTTGTGCAAACGCATATTTACAAAGCTTGAAACATATGTTTGCCTGATAAAAATTGCATAAAACTATACAAAATGCTGTATATATATATATATATATATAGTACAACGGTCGAAATTTGATCGTGGCGCCATCTAAGACAAAACTTATATATATATGTATATATTGCCTACAGGCACGAAACTTGGTTTGGTTTGGTTTTCTTTGCTTTTCCTAGCCATACTGATGAGACCTGATAGGTCGAAACGCGTCTATGGATGGAAAAGCATGGAAAATCAAACCAAATATTTTCTTATATATATATACGTATATACCGAAGAGAGAATCTTGATCTTGAGGCCATCTAGGTCAAGATCAAGATTCGCTCTTCGGAATTCTTGCATTTGCCTTAAGGCGAAAAATTGGATTGGTTTTCTTTGCTTTTCCTAGCCATACTGATGAGACCTGATATAGGTCGAAACGCGTCTATGGATGGAAAATATATATATGGTAGCCTGCTTTCTGTTCCAGGAATTTATGGATCAGTAAATGGTTGAATGAATTGTAACATTTCCTGGGGAATCGCTACAATGACACTACAATTGTTCCATTTAAGATCTTCTAGGCTATTTGAGCAAAGGATTACAGTATCTTTCCTTGACATAATCCCAGAGAAAAAAAATCTGGAACTCTCAGTCAGGAGAGTAAGGTGTCCATCCTATATGGGACCAGCTCTCCTTATCCCATGTCATATCTAGTGATTCC